TTGTGTACATAACATGGTTGCCTTTATTTTTTAATATTTCTTGAAGTCTACATCTGTTTTTATGGTGAAGGAAAGATAAAGTAGTGATACGGTTTCATTTTTATCCACAACTTTACAGACACACACACACACACAAACACACACACACACAAACACACACACACACACACACACTCCATGTCGAATTTTGACAAGATTGCTGAATAATTGGAGGTACCTTTCTGCTTAATATCGTTTGTCTTCCTATCTATATGGCTTCTGTACTCTTAAATAGAAAAATAAGTCTTGTTTGTTCATTTGGAAAATATTATCTTTGCTAGCCTATTGGAGGTTGTTCTTTTTTGGGGGGAGAATAGGAAAGAAAAAGATAAATCACATTATTTAATAGCCTTCTGTTAAATTCCAAAGCACCATGAACAACTTAATAATGATCTTCCTTTTCCCATCTCCCCCACCAATAAAATGAAGTTTTAGAGCTGACATAGATTTGAAATATTTGGTGCATGGGATTTATTAACTGCATCTGTTTTTTTTCAAAGTTAGGATGTTTGTGTCATATTGCTAAAGCATATTGTAAGCACATTTAGCATCCTCTGTAATTATTTTTTAAGGCTCTGCTTGCCTTCATTGCCGAATTTTCCAATTCAAAATTCTTTGATGCTGGTTAGCAAAGTTTAAAGCATCTTTCTAGAGGAATATCCACTTTTAAAGTAGCTTGTGAATTTAAGCAGCAGCTGTATTTACAAGGTGTCCTGAGTGAACAAGGCTATATCTAGATGCTGTCATTATTATTTTGTCAGCATCTTAATAGTATTCACTTTGATTTTTTGCTTAACAACATAAAATACCTTTTTCTTTTGAAGCAAGCCATAAATGTATACTCTTTTTTCTTTAAAGCAAAGCATGCATGTTTTTTCTTTGAAAGCAAAGCATAAAATACCTTTTTCTTTTCTTGCTGACAATTGGAATACTTCAGAGGACACCCTGAAAAAGCCACATAATCTTTCTCCCTTATATTCTCAGTTGATTTTAATTCAAAACTTAAGGTGGTGTTTGGCTCTTTCAAAGTTATTTTAATTTTTGTGTGAAAACAAATACTGCAGAATGAGTGCAACGGATCTACTAGCTGTAATTTGGTTTAATTCCAGGTTAGTGGAAATGATCATTCATACTGATAAAACATGCAGGTAATTAAGGCCTTCTAGATCGTAGTTCATTTCCATTATGACCTCCTTTATTTTTAATCACTTCGTGCCTCTTAATTTAATCCTTGCACCATTCAGCAAGACAGCTAAAGCAGTCAAGTATTTCCTACACTTTTAGAGTCTTCATTTTGGATTAATCTACACATTTTCGTTGTTGTATTTGGGACCAATCTTTGCACAATTCATGCTCAGTCATAGATTCGTCAGAATAGCAACAGAATAACAGAATAATAGAGTTAGAAAAGACCTTGGAAATCTTCTAGTCCAGGGGTGGCAAACTCACGTC